CAGATTCTCACCGACCCATCTGGTTTGACCGGGGTGACTATAGGGGTTTCCCACCTGGCATGGTCTGTTGGCTCGAGTACCCCTTGCTCGATGAGCTTCTCTAACTGCTCATCGATCTTGGGTCTGAGTGCGAAGGGCACTCGCAGGGGTTTCAGGCGGATTGGGGCAATGTTAGGGTCTAGGCTGAAGGATATTGGGGCCCCTCGGTACTTGCCTAGGCTGCCGTCGAAGACCTCCTGGAAGTCCTTCACGAGTTGCTCCTCCCAGTTGTCCTCGGCGACGTGGTTGATGCCCGTCACTTCTATTCCCAATGGCGCGAACCATTGCAGTCCCACGAGGCTAGGGCAGTCTTTGTCCACAATTGTCAGGGGAAGTATCTCGGTGCACCCTTTAAATGTAATCTTAAAGTGTCCTATTCCGACCACGGGAATGCGGTTTCCCTGGTAGTCTTTGAGGATGAGTTTCTGGCTTTCCAGTTTGCGCCTGTGGATGGTAGGCACCAGGCGCTTGATTTCCTGCCACGCAACCATGGAGAGGTAAGACCCAGAATCCACCTCCATTTTGCATGGCTGGTCTTCAATGCCTACCTCCACGCGTACCTTTCGGGCATCCCCATTTGAAGAGTGGCTGATGACGACCGTTTGGTGGGTTTCTTCTCGTTGTCTGGCCTCGTTGAGATGTCTGTTTCTTCCGTCCCGGCTCCATCGGCTCTCGGCGTACGCGTCTCTGGTTCTGAGGGGGGGGGGTGCCATCTCATCCCTGGGGGCTGCCATCTCGTAGTCGGGGGCATGGTTCCGCTTGAATCGGCACACCTTGGCGATGTGGCCCCGCTTGTCGCAATGGTGGCAGGTTGCGTCGAGGAACTGGCATTCTGACCGTGGATGGTCACCCCCACACCCGGCGCACTGGAACCCTGACTTACGACCTCGCCGCTTGCGCTGATCTCATTCCGCCTGGAGTCGGTGGATGTCCTCCTCCTCGTCCTCGGTGTTGGAGAGGGAGTCGAGGTTGCCATGATGGGTGGTGGTTGTCGCTCGGCGGCCTGGTTCGGGGTGCTTCTACGGGGTTGGGGTCGCCTCGGTAGTCATCGGCCGGTCCACTGTGCTCATCTGCTGCATCCAAGCCGCCGATTTCCTGGTCGCCTCCGCTGCGGTCGCTTCGGCGAGGGCGTCGGCGAGGGAGATGTCGCCCTTTGCCATTAGCCGGCTCTGCAGGACTGGGTCTTTGAGCCCAAGGACGACACGGTCTCGCAGGGCTTCATCCATGTCGGTGAAGCCGCACATGCCCCCGAGGTTCCGTAGATCAGCCAAGAAGTCGCTGATGCTCTCACCCTCCTTCTGGTCCCTTCGGTAGAAGTCGTGCCGTCTGATGAGGGTGGGTACAGCGGGTGCATAGTGGCTCCGCAACAGGGGTTCGAGGTCGGCCCAGTCCATTGCCTTCACGTCCTCGGGTTTGGCGAGGGCTTTCGCCATCTTGAACACTGCGGGCCCGCAGTGTGTCAGGAACACGGCCCTTTTTTTCTGTCCATTCGTGTCCTTAAGGTTGCTGCTTTCCAGGAACATGAGGAATCTATCGATGTAGGATTCCCAGTCCTCTGCAGCCTGGTTGAAGTGTGCGGGTGGCACGGTGCTGCTGGCCATCTTGTTGGTTGCGTGTGCCGCGGTGCCACGTGTGTGGTGGGTCTTTGTCTCACGATCCCACCTTCGTCGCCAGTGTTATGTTGGTGGATCGGTCCCGAGGAGAGACGCGAGACCAGTGACTTTCAAGCTCTTTTTATTAAGTGGTAGATCGGCTTGCTTGCATCGGATCGGTGGCGGCTTATATAGAATTTGTGCCAGGTGCCGCGGCCAATGACAGCCGTTCGAATCTCCCGCGATCGGCTAGGCCAATCGCGGTTGATCCGTAATGGCCAATCAGTGCTGTACACTCAACCAATCCGAACGCTGTGCGTCCTAGCCAATCAGAATACAGGGTTACAAGAATGCAAATACAGAACAACTTTCTTATCTAAAGTAATATAGAAATGTTACTCCTTGTTTGTTACTCCTATTTTTTACCCCAGTAAGATTTTAATGTAAAAAAAGAATGCTGTTTTCTGTGGTCTTCTATGCGGTTACTTTAGTTTTGAGGAAGTAAAAATAAAAATAAGCACAAGCGTAAAATGCCTAAGTAAGAAAAAGTGAGGAAAATAATCCACCAGATGTGCTGGAGTCAACTTTCAAAATTCCTAGCAATGATTATGGTGGCTAGAGAGTCTAGAATTAAAACTCTCAAGGACTGCAATAAAATATATATATATATATTCAGTTTAATTGAAGTGTTACATTATAACATGTTATATATTCACAATACAGCATCGTGTAACATTCAAGATGGTGCACTTTCTGGCAGTGAAGGAAAATTGGTTTTTCCTGAATTCCCAAAGCCTTTTTATCAGGATAATCAGTAAGTAGCTAAACTACAAACACTTATTTATTTGCCATTTTCTAGGCTCAATTACCCTGGATTGTTGCATACAGAGACCTTCTCAATCCATACTCTATTGTAGCAAAGTTTTTACAGGTAGTCCTAGACTTACAATCATAATGCAGCCCCAAATTTCAGTTATTAAGTGAGACAGTTATTAAGTGAGTTTTATTCCATTTTACAACCTTTCTTGACACAGTTGTTAAGTGAACCACTGCAGCTGTTAAGTTAGTAACATGGCTGAGAAGTGAATCTGGCTTCCTCATTGAGTTTGCTTGTCAGAAGAGAACAAAAGGTGATCACATGACCCCAGGACACTGCAAATATGAATCAGTTGCCAAGTGTCTGAATTTTGATCACATGACCATGGGGATGCTGCTGTGGTGATAAGTGTGAAAAATGGTCATAAGTCACATTTTTCAATGCTGTTTTAACGTCAAACAGTCACTAAACAAATGGTTGTAAGTCAAGGACTACCTGTACACTTAACCAAAACTCTTAATTATGTAAACCAAGGCTCTTCAAACTTGGCAAGTTTAAAACTTGTGGACTTCAAGTCCCAGAATTCCTGAGCTAACATGACTGGAGGAGGAATTCTGGGAGTTGAAATCCAAAAGTCTTAAAGCTTAAAGTCTCAAGTTTGAAGACCCCTGATGTAAACCCTAATAGAGTGACCAAATTCAGAAGATTAAAAGTATGATTTCATTCATACAACATATTAAGGGCATTTTCTCATGGCCATGTTAATCTTATCTTTAATTTGGATGACAACATCATCATCAACAACAACAATAATAATGGCTAAGAGCAGGAAAGTTATAGAAAGAGACCAAGGGATTAATTCTGGCTGTGCAAGACCAAGCCTTAAGGACAAATGTATACAAAGCCAGAATTGAGAAGACAGGAACAGACAGTAAGTGCCACCTATGCAAAGAAGCTGAAGAAATAGTGGTAAGCTGCTGCAAGATAATTGCACAAACTGACTACAAGCAGCGACATGACAAAGTAGCAACAATGGTGCATTGGAAGATCTGCAAGAAATATCATTTACCTGTAAGCAAGAACTGGTGCAACCATAAAATACAAAAAGTCATAGAAAATGAAAAAGTTAAATTGCTCTGGGACTTTAGAATCCCGACAGGCACCTCCCATATAACACCCTGGACTTAACAGTTGTTGAGAAGAAAGACAAAAAAAGTCTGGGTAGTGGATGTGGCAGTGCCTGAAGACAGCAAAATAGAAGAGAAAGAACTGGAGAAGATAACAAAATACAAAGACCTACAAATAGAAATAAAATGACTATGGCAAAGGCAAGCAAGGGTAGTACCAATAGTCCCAAAACAACTGGAGCACCACTTGAACACCATAGGCATTGACAAATTTGCCATCAGTCAATTGCAGAAGGCAGCTTTATTTGGAACAGCTTCCATCCTGCAGCGATATCTGTAACACCATCAAACATCCAGATTTGCCTATCCCAGGTCCTTGGTAAGGACTTGTTAGGTAGACAAAAATGCCAAACCCAGTCTGAACATCTGGCTGACTGTGCGATTAATAATAATATTAATAATATTGATAATATTAATATTAATAATATAATAATATTAATAATATTGATATTATTATTAATAATAATAACAATAATAATAATAAAAAGCTGAATACAAAAAAGAAATAATTGAGAAGCAAATTGAAAATTGGAAAAGTAAAGCTATGCATGGCTAATACCTGAAAATTATTGAAGGCAAAGCTGACCAAAAGCTTACTTGGAATTGGCTAAAATCAGGAATACTGAAAAAAGAAACTGCAGGCTTTATTTTGGCTGCTCAAGAACAAGCCTTAGCCATAAATTGCATGAAGGCAAAGATTCAGCATGTCACCACCAACAGCAAATGCCGCCTCTGTAATGAGAAAGATGAAACAGTTGACCATTTAATCAGTGGGTGCAGCAAAATTTAACAAACTACCTAGAACGCCATAACTAAGTTGCTAAAATCATTCACTGGAAACTGTGCCAAAAGTTTGGATTTGAATATATGTTCCTACTGGGAACATCAGGTTGAGAAGGTTCTGGAGAATGAAAAAGTCAAGATCTTGTGGGACTTCAGAATTCAGACTCACAGGCACTTGGCCCACAACACATCTGACATAACAATAATTGAAAAGAAAAAGGGCTGGTTCATTTACATTGCAATACCTGGTGATGCACGAATTGAAGAATGCAGCAAGAAATAATCACGAAGTGTCGGGACTTTCAAATTGAAGTTGAGCGACTTTGGGAAAGAAATCGTGTGTTACCCCAATTGTAATTGGAACCCTTGGAGCAATACCTAAAGGGCTACCTAGCTATTTGGAAATTCTGAATTTATCAGACCTGATTCTACAAAAAAACTACCCTACCTGGAACAGCTTATATCCTCCGACACTAACTTTAACAGTTCCTAGGTCCTTGGTTAGGACTCGGGCCGTTGAGCTATCAACCAGCCCCAAAGGCTGTGAATCTCACTAAAGATATAATAATAATAATAATAATAATAATAATAATAATAATAATAATAATGTCAGAATAATTTCTGGTGTCTGAAACCCTAGCCTCCCTCAGAATATGCTACAGGAGATTGGTACTGTCCATATAGATTTAATGCAAAACAAGTTAAGTAAAACGAATAATGGATTCCCATAGCTCACTTCTCCAATTGAGCATCAGTGGAGAGGAAAAACTTCTAGTGGGTAAAAACCTCTTCATAACCTGGAATGCTTCTGGAGTTGAGGAGAAAGTGAGTTTTGTAAGATAGGAAAAGAAATTTGTTTACATTTGCTATGTCTTCATGCAAGTCTTTTTCATGGGTACATTCAAAGGGACCCAATTATTAATTAATTGCCAAAATATTTTGACAACCTAAAGGTATGTCATTTTAAAATGGTTAGTGAGGCATCTTCTGATTATGGTGAGCAAGATGTGGGGATGATCTCTAAACTTTAATGTGCTTTATTGTTGTTATATGAACCAGATATTGCGATTTGTAAATAATGGGCTTGAATTTATGCAAACTAAGCTGATTGTACTTTATCAGCTGAGCCATGGTTTAATGTGGCTTAATATGATAAGTAAAGTTATGTTCGTATAGTGGGTTATTCGGTAAATAAAGCAAGCAATGAACCTTCTTTTTAAAAAGTATTATGTAACTATGACTTCTGTATATCCTAGAAAGTTCTAGACATTCATCTTTATACATGTTTCTTGGCATTCATCTTACCTTTTATTAGTCTGTGAAATTCTTCTTAGGCTGTTTGAATTAAATTTTTCAGAAGTAAATCTAAAATCTCACTGGGTTTTATTAGAGATCTAAAATTATTGTGTGTGCATGGGGGGAGGGTTACAATATTTAACTGGATTTTAATATAATATGCATGGGAGGGTGGAAGAAACAAATTTTTGTTTTATCTATGATTTTGTGCACCTGTGCTTAATTAATGGTTTAATTTTCAACTAGAATTCACTCCATATGTTCTCAATTTAGGCTCTGCATTTGGACTTTATCTGTTCCAGAAGGGAGGCATATAGTGTTGAATTTTTCTCACTTTGATGTGGAGCCAGATGCATTCTGTGACTATGATTCTTTGTCAGTGATTTCTATGGATGATCGACTCATTGGTAGGTTGCTTCTTCAAAATATATTGCCACAAGCTGGCTTCTAATTAAAAACAGAAGTTTCTGCTATTGTTGACATTTCTTTGACAATCAAAACAATCTTCTACTCAAATGTCAGCATTACTTGACACTTTATTGAACCGAATAACCACTTATCACCTGCAAAGAAAATTTAAATCTGGGGGCTTTATGGCATGGAAAGAAAAATCATCCATATATTCCACTATAGTTGAACTGGCAAGAATGTTTCAGCAAATGACCACATATTTTTTTAATTAGTCTCTGAAAGTTGAAAGGATGAATGTGCGACCCTGATAATAATAATAACAATGTCTATGAGTATCAATATCTTCATTTTTACATTTTGCCTTTTAGGGAAATTGTGTGGAATGAACCTACCACTGCCTATTTTGATTGGTTCAAACAGCGTAAGATTGAAATTTGTCTCAGATAACAAGGAAGAAGGAACTGGATTTAGCATGACATACCAAGCTATAAAACCAGCTAGTTCTCTAGGTAAATATTAATGCTCTTGATCAATCCATTGTGCATATTCAGATTATTCTTGATTAGAGATACTGCATAATCAATATAAGAATACATTATGAAGAACAGAATGGCATTTTGGAGCCACGCCTACCCTGCATTCGTCTTTCTCTCCTTCCCTTTCAAAGAGATAAATTTGGTCTTTGTGGTTCTGAACTTCTGAGTGCGTGAACTTCATGGAGAAGTATCATTACTAAGTTCCTTGAGGAATAACTTAAGCCATCATAAGACAGGATGGAATTGAGATATGAAATGACTTTGCATATAATAAGATGTTTACACTCAAGAACCAAGCAATTACTGATACAAATGAACCAATCCACATCAACTTTAGAACTGGCCACTCTGACAAAAGAGGTACCACCACAAGCAAGGCCAATCTATCTATCCACTATTCAAATACACCATTGCACCATTTGTAGTAAAATTATCCCTTTCAAAACTGTTTTCATTCACCATCTAAGTAATATTTCTTTCCCTATAATGGTAATGTTCAAAGAGCTGTATTTCATTTTAATGTACATCATAATTATATGCATAAATTTCACAGTGTGATAGGACAACATAACCTTCTAAATGTTTGAAACAGCTTATTTATTTTGAAGAAAGTTTGGTTTCTGTTTAGATTCTGGTTGTGAATCTCTAGCAGTTCTCTTTGAAGAAGGAACAGTGCAAAGCATGCATTATCCAGAAGCATATAATAACCTAGCAGAATGCCAATGGATTGTTCATGCTCCAGAGAACCATGTTGTTAAGGTATAAGTCATATGCATAACATATTTCTTTCAATTAAAATTTACGCATATTTTATTTGGTTCAAATGCACTTTGCCACTTTTTCTGTTCATGAATTTGATTTTATACATATTACTCTGTGTTTATATTAGATTTTTAAAATATGGAATCCAACATTTTTAGTATTGAGCCTGACTATCTTCAGCCAGGCTTTTATCCTATGTCCCTATCATTCTGATTACATCCCATAAATAAATATTTGTTTTTATGTCAATCCTGATTGCTGAAGTTTTAAAACTTTGGAAAACTTTGGGGCACATGAGGATATTGCTACTCTCATTTTGAGATTTGCCATTATATTAAATAGTAGTAAACTAAACTCTGGATCTTTTTTGAATTAAACATTTGCAAAATGAAATTTTTAATATTTTAAGAACGTGAAACCTCATCTTCTGCACATTTCTTGGGAAGAGGATAATAGCATTTGTTTGTGCTTTGTTGAATGAAGTTTTTCTTGAGCATCATGTTTGATCAATGGTTTAACTGTTTGGTAACAGTAAGAGCTGTACGAATAAAAAACGAAAAACATATTTATTTAAAATCAAACTCCTTTGTTTTGGAGGAATTTCAGTTTCTTTTTTATTTTTCTGAAGCTCGCATATGAACACTTTGAACTGGAAGAAAATGAAGACTGTATTTATGACTCAGTGACAGTCTATGAAAATGTGGCAAAGGAGAAAGAAATAGGTCTGTTATATTCCTTTCTAAATTGTGGGTTGATTCAGTTCTAATGGTTCTTGTGTATGTGCAGAAAGGAACTAAATTAAGAATGCTGGTATAATTGATTGGCTTTATAGCTGCAAGGTGCATGGTTTCCCATTTATCTTTGCCTGAGTTTTTCTACTATATTAGTGGTTATTTGTTATACATAATCAGTCCATCATCTGCACAACTGTAATAAAAATACTGCAGAGTCTTATATTGCACTATATGGTACAAGCAGGAGACCCTACACCATTTCTGAGAGATAGCAGCCCATTCTCTTTTTGAAAGCTTCCAGTGATGAAGCTCCCATCACAAATCTGCTGCTAGATCTCTTGTATCACAGATCTAGATTCGGTAATTGTGTCTGCATGCATACAGTGTAATTTATCTGTCCCTCTTCCCTATTTGCAAAGCTTAAAATCAAGATAATTATTACATGATTACTTTATAGAGTTGTGCCTTTGGGTAATACCTGCAGTTTTACAAATGCTAAGAGGGGTGGAAATATCAAAAGAAAATAGCATAGGGCACCAAAGGTCATGGCTTGAGTCACAGGTGACTTTATATATTAGAGGGGCTTCTCCTGTGTCTTTGCCTTCATTGGAATGGAGCCTCTCCTTTTACCTGAAGACTATCTTCAACAAAACATGTGGGCCTTTAAAAAAAAATCCATTCAATCACGTCTGATTTTCAGAGACTATTGGTCCCTGCAGTGTTTTAGGAAGGATTTTCAGAAGTGGCTTGGCATTGTCTATTTCTAGGTCTGGGAGACTGATTGGTCCAAGGTCATCCAGCTGGCTGTGTGCCTAAGAAAGGACTAGAACTCATAGTCTTTTGATTTCTAGCCTGATGCTTTAGCTCAGGGATCCCCAAACTTGGCAACTTTAAGACTTGTGGACTTCAACTCCCAATACTGCACCAATTAATCAATTACACTAATCACACTAGTCAAATAATTTCACTAAGCAACAATCACCCTAATCAATTAATTACACTAATCACTAATCACACTGGTCAATTAATTTAACTAAATCACTAATTTTACTAATCAAATTACACTAATCACTGATCATTTATACTGATCAGTAATCACACTATTTGCACTAAACACTCTAATCACACTAAATCAATCAATCAATTGATAAATTAATTATTTTAGAGATTATTTCAGAGAAATTATTTTAGAGACATCATTATCTAATCATTTATATAAATTTTGAGGTAATGAAGTAATCAGTGTTATAAGTATTGAAGTAATGAGCTAGTATTGAGAGTCAGCAAGTAAAGGGTTATTGCTTTTTTCGCTGCTGCTATCTGATCTGCTAGGTGAGACAAGCTGTAAAAGTTGTAGGTCTGAAACAGGCTGTAACAGGATGATTAAAAACACACTGAATAACTGAAAATTATCTTTTAAAAAGAGGCAGTTTGTTGTTATGATCTTACCATTCGTTCATTCACTGATTCATTTTCTTAGCTCGATCGTGTGGATTTGCTGTCCCAGCACCAGTTCTGAGTTCCTCTAACACAATGCTTATCCACTTTCATTCTGATGAAACAGAGACCTACAGTGGGTTCAAAGCTGTATTTTTCTTCATTGATGTTGCAGGTAAAGAAATTGTATGTACAGCAGTTCCGCATACATACACAGAATACATTTTGTCCACTTCAGTATGTTGTTTATAGCAGCAAACTGCTTTCAAATTGCTAGAGATTTCAGTGGATCATGAATACGTTTTTAATTCTAACAAATCAAATCACAATTCATACTTTAATCACATTTCTCCTGAGTTTCTAATGTAATACTTGAATGAATGAAGTGAGGCATAAAATTTACTAGCATTAGAGCCTGTAGAGAATAGTTATTA